CATTTCAGTGAGTGAAATAAGTATTTGATCCCCAAGCAAAATATGATTTAGTACTTGGTGCAGAAACCCTTGTTGGCAAGCACAGAGGTAAGAGGTTTTTTGTAGTCGGTCACCAGGATTGCACACATCTCAGGAGGGATTTTGATCCACTTCTCTTTACAGATCCTCTCTAAATCCTTAAGGTTTCTTGGCTGTTGTTTGGAAACTGGAAGTTTCAGCTCCCTCCACAGATTTTCTATAGGATTGAGGTCTGGAGGCTGGCTAGGCCACTCCGTGACCTTAATGTGCTTCTTCTTGAGCCACTCCTTTGTTGCCTTGGCGGTATGTTTCGGGTCATTGTCATGCTTGAAGACCCATCTTCAGTGTTCTGGCTGAGGGAAGGAGGTTCTCGTCCAAGATTTTACAGTACATGGCCCCGTCCATTTGTCCCTCAGTGTGGTGAAGTCGTCCTGTACCTTTAGCAGAAAAACAGCCCCAACGCATAATGTTTCCAGCTCCGTGCTTGACTGTAGGGATGATGCATTTCAGCATTTCTCTCCCTCCAAACACGGCAAGTCGAATTAATGCCAAAGAGCTCAATTTTGGTCTCATCTGACCACAGCACTTTCTCCCAAGCCTTCTCTGAATCATTTAGATGTTCTTTGGCAAACTTTAAACGGGCTGTACATGTGCCTTCTTGAGCAGGGGGAGCTTGCTGGCGCTGCAGGATTTCAGTCCATTGTGGCGTAGTGTGTTACCAATAGTTTGCTTGGTGACTGTGGTCCCAACTGCCTTAAGATCATTAACAAGCTCCTCCCGTGTAGTTCGGGGCTGATCCCTCACCTTTCTCATGATCATCCTTACCCCATGAGGCGAGATCTTGCACGGAGCTCCAGACTGAGGCCGATTGATGGTTGTTTTGTTTTTCTTCCTTTTCCCAATTTCTTCTTGCTGATGGTCTTGTAGCCCATTCCAGCCTTGTGCAGATCTACAGTCGTGTCTCTGACATGCTTTGACAGCTTTGGTCTTGCCCATGGTGGTGGGAGAGGCTGGAATGGAAGATACAGATTGTGTGGACAGGTGTCTTTTACTCCTAATGAGCTGACATTAGGAGTAACTTCTTAAAGTAGCAGGACTAATCTGTGTTCCACATGGGCACATAACCAGTCTGTGGGAGCCCGAATTCTTGCTGGTTGGTAGGGGATCAAATACTTATTTCACTCACTGAAATGCAAATCAATTTCTAACCTTTATATAATGTGTTTTTTTCTGGATTTTTTTGGTTGGTATTCTGTCTCTATCTGATCAAATAAACCTACCATAAAAATCACAGACCCTTCATTTCTTTGTAAGTGGGCAAACTTACTAAATCAGCAGGGGATCAAATAAATATTTTCCCCACTGTATATACACATACACATATATACACTATACTGCCAAAAGTATTGAGACACTTCCTTCTAATGAACAGGTTTGACTACTTTAGTAATTTCCACGAGTATAAATCTTAATGTTTAAGCATATAATGATATTCTAGGGAATTGTGTGCTTCTAATTTTAGAGCAGCAGTTTGGACCGTACCCTTTTCTATTCTAACATGACAGTGCCTCTGTGTATAAGGCAAGGATCAAAAAGAAATGATTGATTGAGTCGGTGTGGAAGAACTTGACTGGTCTTTACACCTCTGCTGTGACTTTAAATGCTGACCTTGAGCCAAAAACTCATCACCAAACACCAATGACTTGTACATGCACTATATGGACAAAAGTATTGGGACACCCCCTTCTTTAGAACAGAAAAAGGCACTTCCAAAACTGTGGCAACAAAGATGGAAACATAATTCATGTATTTAAAAATTGTATTTCCATCCCTGTTGCAACAGGTTTGGAAGTGTCTAAAATGACTGCACCCATATGTACAAGTCATTGGTGTTTGAAGTTCATACAAATCATTTTTTAAGATAAGAAACAAAATGTGTGAACATTGTGTCATGATGAAAGACACTGATGGGTCAGATGTGAATTTGCCCAGGTTAAAAAAAAAAGTACACTTCCATAATGTACTTAAAGTGCTTTATTTTTGCACACTAATTTTGTACTAAATATACGAAAATGATTCTTTAGTGCTTTTTAAGATAAACTTAAGATCAACTAAGTATACTCAACTGTGCTATTTTGGGACACCATGAATATGAACTAAAATGCGCTTTTAACATACTAACTCTGTATTTATTTACCACTTGTAGTACACTTGAGCCCATCTTTCATAAACTAGTACACTCAAGTGTACTACAGGTGGTGACTAAAAACATTTTTTAAATAGCGATATGATGTTAAAAGCGCATTTTAGTTCATATTCCTGCTGTCCCAAAATAGCACAGTTGAGTACACTTAGTTTATCTTAAGTTTATCTTAAGAAGTACTAAAGAATAATTTTTAGTACAAAATTAGTGCTCGAAAATAGAGCACTTTAAGTACGTTATGGAAGTGTACTTTTTTTTTTTTTTTTTTTTACCTGGGTGTGCAATGGCCCTCTTTACTCATCTTGCAAAGAAAACGTTTTTTTCCAAGTAAATCAAAATTCATAGAAAAACGGTGAAGTTTGAATGCTTTTTTAAACACTGAATTTTTTTGCTGTCAGCTGTGATTAAATTCCACCATACAAAATACACAAATGACTTTAATGTCTTGTCTGTGTTTCCTTTTTTATATTTATTGCAACAATAATTGTTGAGCTTGAAGGTGCAATGCAGCTTGTGCCATCTCTTGTGTTGAGTGAATTAGCTTTTGATTTAAGGCCGACAGATGCTTGTTTCTCTCTTGGTGTGAACGGACCACTCGTTGCTGATTCTGTGTGTGTGTGCAGCAGTCAAAGCAGTAAAACACCTTCACATCATCATTAAAAGTGCATGCTTTATAACATATGACTGCCTTTGTTTGCTCTCTCTTGTGTTTATCAGGTTATTGTAGAGAAAGTTTCTGGTTCACAGATTGTGGACATTGACAAGCGAAAGTATCTGGTCCCGTCTGACATTACAGTGGCTCAGTTCATGTGGATCATCAGAAAGCGGATCCAGCTGCCTTCTGAAAAAGCCATATTCCTTTTTGTCGACAAAACTGTCCCTCAGTCCAGGTAAAATCCTGCTTTATTTATTACAAAGACTCTACTAAGTACAGTACCTATAAAAAGTATTTAACCCGCCCGGACTTGACAATGTTAATAAAATCGAGTCTGTGTCAAAAATATCAAATTCAAGGAATGCTCGAGTTAAAATCAATTAACAGCACTTGGGTATAATGTCAATTACCACAAAAAACAGTCTCACAATTAAATAATTTCACAAAATTTGTGGTGAGAGTAATGCACTTACAATGTTAGAACATCAATGTTAAAATGCTGTTTCAAAATCATGACTGAAATGAGACTAGTGTTATACACTGGATTGCAGTCAGAAGTTATTACAAATGCTCAGTGGTGATTGATTAAAGTAAGTAAAAGTGTTGAATTATTCTCATTAATAGCTTGAAGCTAATTGTAGTTATTTTCTAATTTCTCTGTTACCCGTGTACGATTATATTTCATGATCTATTTTATCAAAAGAAATCACAAGTTCATAAGAAAATGTTTCGTTTTCTAAAAAGATGTTTAATTATAGTAACACAATGTATATCGGGATCAGAGGGATGAAGGCAAGCCATGTAATGCCACAACTTACAAATCGGCATTCAGATCATCTTTTCTTCTGACAAAATCAATGTAATGGCAATATTTCCATCCACTGAATGTAAGCTTTTCCATATTCCGAGCTTGCCTGCTGACTTCATGTGTTCACGAATTATGAAAATAAATCTAGGAATTATTGGATTGTTGGATTTCAGATCAGCAGGGGTTGAGGCATCAAAAGTAACTAAGTAACTAGCTGTTTTATGGATGGTAACAGTAATATCCTATTAGTAATTACACTACTAGCTACACTACTGCCAAACACTAATTACGGATGTATTTTATGCTGTGAAATAAAGCGCGGAAATATCTTGAGCTTGTTTTAAACAAACCTTATTTGACCAAAAACCCATTGAGGATGGTGGAAGCACAAGTACTAAAATGTGAGCTCAATTCTGGATTTTGGCCTACAAAACTGGGTGGAGTGAAAACTTTTTTGTATGCACCAATAAAAAAAAAACACTACCTTTTGACAGACCAAACTAAGCACATATCTTATGACAAATATTACAGAAAATAAAGAGGACTGACGCACCGGCTATAGGAATTCAGTTTTCTGAAACATCTGTAGGAGTATTTCCTTATACAGCAGTCATGTTCACAATGTAGATTTACTTGAATTGCTTCCTGAACATGCAACATTCAAGCTGATGAAACACTATAGGGCTGTGATTGTGTCCATTAACTTAAGATATGGCATCAGATTTCATATGAAAGGGAAGGAATGTTTTCCTGTGACGCCGCAGGTCACACCCAACATCCTCCTTTTAAATCCATTTATAAATATGGAAAAATCTCTATTTACCTCCTCCACCTGCCATCTCAAATAGACTCACCTGATATTCTCTTGTTTACTGATGCTTGAGAACACTGCAAAACAACAGGCTACAGAAGTGAACAGGGTTTGTTTTGTTTTTTAGCAAGGATTTATTTTGGATTAATCTGTTCAGAGGTATTCGTTGATGTGCCTCCTTTTGACGTTTGCACACAAATTGTGATTTTTCCCTGCCTGTCGCTTAGTGGTTCAGTTAGTGTAGAATTTTCACAAAATACCTGTGCATTCGTTCATTTAATTGAATTGAATACATTAACCTATATGGTTTGGACAAGTGAAAATCTGCATCTATTTCTACGAACGTCAAAACACTTACGATCCCCATTGTTGTTTCAGTCTGACTATGGGGCAGCTCTACGAAAAAGAAAAAGACGAGGACGGCTTTTTGTACGTGGCCTACAGTGGAGAAAACACGTTTGGATATTAGGATCCCTGCATCATCCCATGCTGTGCAACACATCACTCCCGTTTCTTTTGGACTGCGCAATTGGGAACAAGATCAACTCCTCTGTGAATTAACCACATAGCAGATGTGTTTGTACCTCTATTGTCACATTGTGCTCTGAAACATTAGATCGACTGCATTAGTGATTTTTCTTCTTTTGGTGAATGGTGTTGCAGTATTATTACAGACGCTTAATAATGTTGACACTGACAATATATAGTAACTTTTAATGTTTTAATTTATCTGTATTTTTCCCCTGTAAATTATATATTTAAGATAATTGAAAGGTAAGGTAGCTGGATGACCTAACCAATAAAAACAAACACCAAAAAATAAACCGACTGTCAATATGATTTATTGAGACCCACTATTTCAAAGAATCTTTTTCACAAATTAAAAAAAAAGGTTCTTGAGGTCAATCATACAGGTTTGGAACAACATGATGAGAATTTTCATTCAACTATCCTTTAATAATATAAATACAAACCTCATGGACCAGAACATATACAGTTCCAATGTAAGCTTTAAGGCAAAGTTCACCCGATAATGAAAAACGAGATAACTCGCCTGATACTCTTTCTCACACCACAAATGCAAATACTGACCAGGGGCTTTCAGTCTAACAAAAACCATACTATGGAAGTGTTACACAATAGCTTTCCTCTGAAAATCTTCCCCTCGTTCAAACTCGGCTGATCATGAGACATTTGAAAGCCAGTGGTGTTCGGCATCAATGAGATTTGAGAGCTACGGCAGTGGAAAATCTTCAATTTCAGCTCAAATGTTTCTCCCACAAAGCTCCTGTAGGACTTTAACAGATTTGGAACGTATAGCGTAGCATACATATATCTTTTTTTGGTTTATAGCCCCTGGTCAATATATACTTTTGCTGAATGGAGAACAGAGTGAGCCTGCTAACATCTTTTATAATAGAAATTAACAGAGAACAGAAGATAGAAATGGCAACTCGGGCAAGTAAACTCTGCAAATTATAAATGTTAGTTGCTTTTACAGTTCTGCTGTTTTAAGTACAGCGTTGGGAAGGTTACTTTGAAAATGTAATAGGTTACAGATTACAAGTTACCCTTATTATTACATTTAAAATGTAATAAGTTGTGTAACGATTTCAATTACTTTATTAATGTAACTGATTAATGTACTTTTTGGTTAATTTTCTAACTTTCTAATCAATGTTTTCAACTGTTAATCATTTTGAAACATGTAAAGCAGCAGGGTTAACCTTACAGTAGAGCCCAACATTGATTACTGTCAGACTTTCAGAATCCTTCATCACTTGAATTAAGATTATAATAATTTATTTTTAAAGCACAGCCACCACAAAATCAGACTTTAGCACCTCTTTTTACTTTGAGATCATTCTGAGGTTAAATACAGATTTATCTTCATAACAAGATATAGTTTAATAGCTATGATGCTGTTTTTGAAATCAAATCTTTGCATAGCTATGACAGCAAATACTGGCATCTAACAATGCCTTGGAAAAACAGTCAATCTTAAAAAATATAGCATATACATAAACCCAAATAGGAAATAAAACAGTTATAGAATAAGCATGTGTCCTAAACTCCTGAAACATTGGTGTCTCATATTTTAAAGTGGTCAGTGCAATTTATGAAAGAAACCAATTAAATCTATATCTGTGTGAAAAGATTCAGATGTAACCCCTCTTTGTAATCATTTACATTTTTAGAAGTAACTGTAATTTAATTGCACATTTTTTCTCAGTAACCATAACAGATTACAGTTACATTTATTTTGTAGTTAAATTACGTAATTTAGTTGCATGTAACTAGTTACTCCCCAACACTGTTTAAGTAGCACAGTATTTTACAAAAAATTTTTTTACATTTATTTATTTGATCTCTACTGGAGCCTCGAGTATAGGACAGCTTTTATTCATGTGATCTGTTCAGGACACTGATATGGTACTGATCTAGTCCGCTAGGAAAACAGCAGCAGTTCTGGTGGGCTGCGGGGCCACAGCGGGAAGGCCTGCAGACGCAGCTGTGTCCAGGCCTGCTGATATGGCCCTGCTTGTAGTCCCAGTACGTCTTCAAATCTTTTCCACTTCAGCGAGCGCAGAGAAGAAACAAACACATCGATCAGACACAACAGATACACAAACAACACCTGCGCGCTGTAGGGAGAGTGCAAGAGAGGTCAGAGGTCAATGTGACTTTAAAAACAGGCATGCATGGCATCACGTTTCTGCTTCAAACAAACAATCTAATGCTAGAAACATACTGTACTCTACACAAACGGTTGGCCAACATATTGCAAACATCCGGTCCCGTTGTTCATTTGGGGAAGGTGACATCATGAAGATATGACTTTTTCCATGTTTAAGTGGGTCCCCGGTGCATCTACCAACCCAGAAAGCTTGTGAAAAAATGAGTGCGTCTGAGTCAGATTTCGCTCCCTCTGTGACGTAGAAAGGGGATCTTATTATAATATTACCACTTAATCCACATGTTTCAACCCACGGCGCCGCCATTGTGTTTCCGCAAGCGACAATGGTGTACCAGTTCTAACTCCATGGTTAAAGTTTGAGCAAAACATTGCTAACTGTTCTGTCTTTGGCTGCACAGAACACCGTTTAGAGTCCCAGCTTCAGAGGAGTCAAGAGAGCAGTGGATTTATTGATTTACTTAGAATCAGAATCACAAGAGTTTTATTACCAAGTATGTTTACTCACACAAGGAATTTGACTTGACGACAGGAGCTTCCAGTGTAGAAGAAAGTACAAACATAGTGCAGACATACATAGGAATAACACAGTAGGGATGTAATATAACACTAATATAAAAATATATATATATATATATATATTGTATATTACGCTACTGCGACACAGATCTAAAATAAACATGACATTGCTTTCCTAGCTGTTTACCTTCACAGACATAAGGTAAGTTTTTGTGTGTTTTAACATAAACTTGTGCGTATTTGACAGTTTAAGCGCAATACAACATGAAAGAGAACTTCAAATGTGTGCGCTCAGAAAACCCTACATCATAAGTTTAAACTAATATGGTTTAAGACATGATTTCAGCGCGATATACACGTTCATAAAAATTGAATGGGCTCCAATACTGGCATTTTCTGCCGGATCGGGTATCGGTCAGACCAGACCGATCCAAATTTGATATATTCTGTGTTATTGTTAAACCCCACAAAAGGCACAAAAACATTATAAAGCACCGTAAAGTTTTCATGCACAATATTCCAAGTGTTCTGAAGCTGTTCCATAGTTCAATGTGAGGTACAGATGAGTATTTAAGTCGTTAAATTCAAGTTCATGTAAACTCTTCTCTACACTGCCGCTGTCTGTCATCCTCCAAACTGCGTGTCACATTCAGTTATGACAGTCAAAACAATGAAACTTTCTCCAAGAGCGCACAGTAGTCAAGTTGAAAACTGTTAAATTAGTTATCCACTAACCTAGTTTATAATAGTATTTTTTGTCATAGATTATGATTATATATTATTTTCATTTGTTATTATTCGTTAATATGAAGTTGTCTATTTAGCAGATTGTGTTTAACACACAAAAGAGTGATGATCAGGTCAACACACAGAAGTATAGAAATTCTAGATTGATTTAAAAACAAACTGCGCTGTATTGGATCGGATCGGTAGCAGCAGATACTCAGAATTTTTGGTATCGGATCGGTTCTGAAAAAATGGTATCGTTGCATCCCTAATAAAAACCAAACAGATATTTTTTTAGCAGAGTATCTGAGATATGAGCTGTAAAGGCACAGCCCTATTCTGGAAAAGGGGGCGGGGAGCAGCAGCTCATTTGCATTTAAAGAGACATGCACGAAAACAGCCTATACCTGTCATTTTCAAAATGATACAATAAATGATCTGTGGGGTATTTTGAGCTGAAACTTTGCAGACACATTCTGAGAACACCTGAGACATATTATATCTTGTAAAAAGGGGCATAATATGTCTCCCTTAAAGCATGAGTAGCTTATAGCTTGGTAAGCTAAAGTAGCACTTTACAGTCAAGCTAGTCTTTTAAGAAAATACTATGTATACTAAGTTATTTATAAAAGGGTTTTTATCAACTATCAGATTTAATTCCATTAAACAGAGACATTTTTCTTGTTTAAAAACTCTTAACCTGCTCCGAGAGGTTCTCTTCAAACATTTGCTCTGCCTTTCCTAACATTCACACTTGTAATCTTTCCACTTTCGCTTTACACAATTGTTATTACTTACTATCTAACTGATTACAGTGCAAAGCTTGGATAGCGCTGAAATCTTTTCATTGTCATTCTTTTGTTGAAAATATGCTACTTCGCTCAGGAACCTGGAGTACAAGCTCCTGAACATGATGAATACATTTATATGAATACATGATAGGATACATTTAGTTGCACATCCATTCTGAAAAGGTATTAGGGTTGCTTGGGTTTTATTACCATGTGAACACATTTAACTGGAACAGAGAGGTATAATTCAGATCATAGTCATTTTTAGTTTGCTTCATCAGCATATCGGCAATACGAGAGTTGTCTATATCCCATAGTGAGATACCGAACGAATGTTAGAAAGAGAACTTTAGGTTACTACCGTAACCCCAGTTCTGATAACGTGAAGTGAGGTATCTCACTATAGGAACGCCCCAGGCGTGACCGATTGCGGAAGCACCAATGACACCATGCCTGCCAACCATGGCAGACCAATCGCTGCAGCGATCAGGGAGTCCTGCCTCCCTGTATTTAAACCGCAGCTACCTACTGTCTCGTCATTCTCTGCATAACTCTTCTCCATGCGGGACAGGCAAGGAGGGCAATATTGTGAGATACCTCACTTCATGTTATCAGAGAACCGGACATAAACAGTGTAGCCGCTCCTCTTCAGAACATGAGAAAGGTGGCGGATGGAAAGCCATCAGATCCACTGCCTGAGCAGACACAGTGTGATCGAATACTTTAGGCATAAATGCCAGATTAGTCCTAAAAGTTACCTTTTGACCACCCGGAGAAAACATCATACATGAGGAGTGGACTGATAAAGCATGCAGTTCACACCCTCTTTGCTGTAGTAAGAGCGAGTAAAAGAGCAGTCTTTAAAGAAAGCAGCTTTAAGGAGATGCTCTCAACGAGCTCGAACGGGGCTTTAGAGAGTGCGTTCAGGACCACGGACAAATCCCAGGGCGGGACCAGCAGCTTTGATACTGGGTGTAACAGTTGCGCTCCTCTCATAAATCGGCAAACGAGAGGATGCTGGCCTATAGTACCCGAGTCAAGTCCTATATGACATGCCGAGATAGCGGCCAACAAAACATAGCAAATCA